AAAAGAACCGAAGCTTTTAACATACCCTCATGCTTGCCCGTACTGAAAAGCGGGCTGTTCTGAACCCTCCAAGCATTATTTCTTATGTTGAAATAAACCTGAAGGAGAGTTTTTACAGTGAGATCAGTCACTTGCTCACCAGTACAACCTCTGCAGGGCAGGGGTAGAGTCCTCCTCACAGGGGGTTTTCACAACAACTGGACAGGGTGCCAATAAACTCCCCTCGGCTCCCTTTCCCACAAGAGCTTGGACCAGACCTTTCAAGGTCCCTTCCTGCCTGGGCTGTGCTGGGATGGTGTCTGAATGGGGAACACTGCTAAGCCGCATGGTTTGCTCCTTGCTTGGAAAAAGAGTACCGCTTTCCTCAAGTCTACTTACTGGATGAAAATGAGCCTGCTGTTATTACAGTTTTTCCTTTTATATACTTAGTTGAAAGTAAATACTAAGATGGCAGTAGCAGCTTCCTGAAGTATGTGTGAGAGAAGGGAGGTCACATGGTTCTATGTTGAGATTGGTCTCCAAGGACTTAACAAGGGTAATTTCCTGGTCACTGCATTTATCCCAACAGCATTTTACAGCCCTGGAATTACGGGCTCAATATCCATCACCACCTAGTTCAGAAGAAATCAGAGGGGAAATCCAGAACGCTGAGGGGCACAGAAAGGACCGGCCGTATTTGTAATTTTCACATGGTTCAAATAATTCTTTTTAATAAATAGCGTAACCATGGCATCTGCAGTGCTGAGATTAAGCACTGCTTAGAGGTTAAGCCTAAGCAAAACTAAAGCCCAGCAGCTGTTGCCACTCAGGAACAGAAAGTGTGGGCAGAGCTGCTCTCCGGGCTTTTTCCCTCAGCCCAGCTATTCTTGCTCCCAACTCTAACAAACACACGCAAGCGGGACTGAAAGCACCAAGTTCTTGGTAGCAGCAGAGCCCTTACTGGCTACCGACTGCTAGGATGGCCGTAGCAGCTCATGTTTTGCCAAACTCATCAAGGTAACGGCACAAGGATTCTTTTTGTCGTCTACCCCTTTGCACCTAGTACGCTAAGGTCTTCCCATGGTCAGTCTTGGGTCCTGACAGTGTTCAGCTTCAAATGTGATTTTTCTGCCTTTCTAGCAAAAAAAAAAAAAAAAAAAAAAGGAAAAAAAGTATCAGTTTCCATCAATTCCAAACCTCAAAAGTCTACCATAATTTCTAAATTACCACATTCCTACGTGAAACTTCTTAAAAGCACATTCTGTCTTCTGTTCTGCTCTTACTCTGTAACCCTGAGTGATTTTTTTACCACCCTTCTTCTCCCTGTTATGGTTTTGACTAAGCTTGCATTGAACCTGTGGATCATGGAGAAACACACCCGGTGTTCATCCAGATGGGTATTTAATTGCTGTTGGCCACCCAGCAATGTCAGAACCCCTGCGGCAGTCAGCACTGGCTGTCTCTTACCTGGACAGAACCAAAACGTTATGTGAAAGGAGTTGTAAGTGAGTCAAGAGACAGGCCGCTTTTTAAAATGGTGGGGATGCACTGCTTGAGGCCCCAGGCAAGCAGCGATACCCTCCTGTAGTTGCTTTCTCTTTTCCACTTCCACAAACAACAGGAATGTAAGCAAATGGATAGGTGGAGCAGCAACGTTAAGAGACTAAAATTCAGAAACCTCCCAAAGAGGTTTAAGGCTTAAAGTATGCAACTTCCACTGCCATCATGCGTTACAGTGCTTATCGAGCAGAATAATATTTCTCAGGACAACCAGATTCACTTCTAATTAGAATACAGATCTGTGGTTGGAATATAAGCCAGTTCAACAGCAGGAAGTGGTGGGGGGGGAAAGAGAAGTATTTCTTGAGTGGTGTTTTTTCTGTATTTCCTAAATAAAGTGTAACTTTTACAAAGGGAAGAGCTGAGATCAAGAAAAGGTGTCTTGTTTTTAAACATACATTTAGATACTTCTGAAAAGCACAAAGTGGTAATTTTCTATTTGAATAATAAGCTAGAGTAATCCAGTTCTGAGAGCAACAGACATACTTTAAAGGGATAAATATATATAGTATTTAAGAAAAAAATCTCTGCAAGTCAGAAGTAGTGCAATGTGGTAACAACGCCCTGTTGTTGCTCTTCTCTGAAGTACCCTCAAGTACTCAAATACACTGTGGTAGGTGTAAGTATCGCAGAAACGGGCCCCATCGCTGCTGAAAACCACAGGGATGGGGGTGTCCACGTGGGCTGGGACAACCGCCCCAGCGCAGCAGAGGCTTTGACCCCCGCACGGCTCCTGAGGAAGGTGCTGCAGCAGCCCAGGGCTCCGGCTGTCCGATGTCTCTCCGGGGCTGGTGACAGCAGCCTCACTGCTGGGAGCCGTGCTCTGGTTGCAGTGCTGAGTTGCTGGGTGAAGGAGCTGCAGGAGGAGGTGAGCCACCTGCATAGCAGCCAGGAGGAGGAACAGGAGGTGACAGGGTCTTCAGAGAGACGCTGCAGAGCTAAGGACCACCCAAGTCCTGTGCTGCAAAGGAGGGAAAACCTTCAGAGCACCCTCACAGGAGCAGTGGATGGAGACTCCCACAGGAGGGAAGGCTGGAAACCTCTTGCTTCCAGCAACACAAAAGGGCTCCTTTCCCAGCTACAGCTTTGCTATTGCAAAGTAGGTGCAGTGTCCTGAGAAAGATGAGGGTGATGAACTCCACCAAGGGATGCTTCCATGACAGCTGAACCTGAGCCAAGTGTTCACACAAACGGAAGACAAGCTACCAGAAAACCCCTCCTGCGGGCGACAGCAGCCCTCATTGCCAGCCTGACTGGGAGACAGCGCCAGGTTTGTTTCTTACTAGTGCCCAGATCCCAGCTGTTGCTCTGTGACTGTGCGATTCAGAATTTTAAATTTGACAGAGGAGTGAGGATGACATAGCAAAACCACTGCCTTGGACCTCAGGAGAGCAGATTTCAGCTTGTTCAGGGATCTGCTTGTCAGGATCTCAGGGAGACTGCCCCGGAAGGCAAAGGGGCTCAGGAGAGCTGCTTGATTTCCAAACCACAACCCCCTCAAAAGACAAATAGTCTATTCTTATGTGCAGAAGGTCAAGCAATCATGGCAGAAGGCCAGCACAGGTGAACAGAGCACCCCTCAGCTAGCTCAAACTCAAAAAGGAGGCAGAAGGTACAAGATATCCAGAACAAATAGAGACATTAACTGAGCACGCAGAGAGGGAGTTAGAAACATAGGAGCTCAGCTGGAGGTGGAACTAGCAAAGGATGTGCAAGGCAGTAAGATGAGCTTCTGTAAAAGTACCTTAGCAGCAAAAGGAAGGGTAAGAAAAATAAGGTCCCGCTGCTTAGAGAGGCAGGGAAACTAGTGCCACAGGACATGGAAAAGGCTGAGGTACTCACATGTTTTGCCTCACAGGTTTTCCCTCAGACCTCCCAGGTCCCTAAGCCTACTAGCAGTCCATGGGAATAAAACAGTAGAGGGAGGTAGAGTTACAGATTGTTTAAGCCAATTGGCACAGACAGACGCACAGGACTGGATGGGCTGCACTGAGAGATGGTCAGGAAGCTAGCGGAGGTCAGTGCCAGACTGCTGTCATTTCTGAAAGGACCTGGAGACTGGGGGAGGTTCCTGACGGCTGGGAAAATGCAAATCTCTCACTCACCTTCAAAAAGGAGGATCTAAGGAGTTACAAGCCAGTCAGCTTCGCTTCAGCCCCTAGAAAACTCAAGGAGCAAATACTCCCAGAAGACATTTTCAGACACACGGAGGTGATTGGCAACGGCCGCGTAGATCTATCAGAAGCAAAGCGTACCTGATCAACCAGACTGACTGAGATAACTGCCTGTGTGAATAAGGGGGTAGCCTTTAGCAGGGCTTTTGACGTGATGTCCTATAATTCCCTTACAGCTAAAAATATCAGTGAGATATAGACTGGATAAATGTACAACAAGATAAGCAGAAAGTTGTCTGGACCACCTGGTTCAAAGAGCTGGGATCTGTGGTACAAAGACCAACTGGTGGACAGTTACTAGTGGCAACACTGGGGCAAATACAACTTACGGTCTTCACTAACCACCTAGGTACAGGGATGGAGTGTGCTCCAGCCAGTCTGCAGATGATACTGAGGCTGGGAGAGCTGTTGATCTGTTGATACACCGTAGGGCAGGACTGCTATTCAGAGGGACACGTAGGCTGACAGGGACCTCTAAGTGAAAGACAAAAGCAAAGTCCTGTACCTGGGATGGAGTAACACCATGCAACAGTACAGGCTGGGGCTGGACTGGTTAGAAAGCTTTGCAGAAAAGGACCCTGGTTCCCAGTAGATATCACGAATCAGCAGTGTGCCTGTGCAGCACACACAATAGACTATATCAGCAAAAAATCATAGTGGTCTTTATCAGCAAAAAATCAGCAATTTGGGGGAAAGACTCACCCTGGGTATTCAGCACTTGTGAGATTACAGCTAGAGTGCTGGGTTAAGTTCTGCACTTCCCAGTAAAAGAAACATACTGATACACTGGATTGAGTCTAGCAGAGAGATACCAAGCTGCCTAGGTGCTCAGAGAGGACAAGCAGGTGCTCAAAGAGGAGAAGCAGAGAACTGGATTTCTTCCAGATTAAAACAGAAGAAAGCCGGGGGAGGTGGGAAGTGATGGTGGTGATCTTATTGTCTTCATAGCAGCAATGGGCCCAGCCTCTTCTCTAAGAGCAGAGCAGACTGGTAGTAGAAGAGGCAACAGACAAATTGCAACACAGGAAATAACAACTAGCTCTAAAAATGGTCCTTTTTTTTTAGTCATGAAGGTGGTCAAACACTGGAACAGGTTCTGAGAGGGGTTGTGGATTCTCCATCCTTGGGGATGGTCAAAACTTAACTGGACATAGCCCTGAGAGTCCAGTTCCAACCGGACCTGCTTTGAGCAAGGGGTTGGACTAGATGATCTCTGGAAGTCCCTCCCAGCCTGCATGAGTCTGCAATAGTGTTACTATACATTACACTTCCAAAAGAGTTAAAAAGGCAACATGGTAATTATTTACATTTTGTAGTCATTGCTGTATCATAAGATACGCACCAGTTATTGTGCAATGAAGCATTTTCCCCTTAGCCACTGGACTTTTTCTAAGTTTGAGGATTTTAAAGATGCTTGTTTCCCTTTTTTTTATTAAAAAAATGCACAAAAAATAACACTGCTAAAACACAAACTGAACTTACACACTGCATTGTCCATGGAGAAGCAAACATGACTAGATCCTAAATGTAGTCTGTGAAGCTCAGTCAAGAACTACTGGCTGGTCATCTCCACCTGCCTGAAGCTTAAGCTTCTTTGCTTTTAAATTAGAACTGCAGTTAGGCCGTTTATGTTCCTGTGACTTCTTCACCACTGAATCCTGGGCAGTCTTTGAGGTAGTCCGGGCATTATCTCTGCTTCCTTTGGAATTCGAAGATTGAGATGGTTTGTCCTGTAAGTTATAAACAATTTATTAAAATTTGAACACTGTCTTCCTTCTTTTTCAGTGTTCCCACACAGGAGAGAAGACACAAGGTCTATTTTAAATCCTGTTGATTGCATTACTATGAAAAAATATACTGAGCAGATATAAAACTATTAAAATAAACTATAATGGAAAAGATATCTATATAGTAAGTCAGTACAGGTATAAATACCTTGAATACACTTTTCTTGTTTGTTATTCCTTCTATAGTTATGATGTGCCCCTCGTTTTTCAGCAGACCTGCTTTTGGTCCTATCTTCAGGTAGGATATTGTAGCGAATGCTGTGAAGCTGAAGTCTTCCCTGCATAAATTAAATGAGTGTTATGGGGGAAGGTTGGAGACAAAGACAGGCTAGAACATGCAGGGGGAAAATGGGACACATTAACCTTTCTGATGGATGTTCCAAATAGTAGCTTGATTCTGCTTTATCTATTCAAGTTAACTTACGAGTGAGCCTGGTCAACACTTAACTGAGTTTGTGGACCTTTAAACACACACACAGACACACGCATGTGTCAATCTGTTGGAATAAGTGGAAGTAAATGAGGAAAAAAGATGTAATAGGTCACCTGCTCATCCTTCTAAGAGTATAAAGAGTCAGCTGTACAAACATGCCAAAAAAATTTAAGACAAAAATGAAGGGATTAAATATTTGATTTGTACATATCCTTGGAACTTCTAAAACGATATGAAACGACAAAGCCACATACCACACAGACAGCCAGGCTGCAAAAGCAGCACTGTTGTTATTTTCACTACGCTTTCTTAAAGTTTCCGAGTACCACTTTCCACATAAGCCAGCCTGTCATTACTTAAGACTTCATCTGGGCAGCCCCATTTGCTTTGCTTACCCATGGCATGCAAATAAGGCTCTGTATAAACAGCAGACTTCTCCACAATGAAGCCTGCTGCAGATTTCAAGGTCCAAGCTGCATACAGAAGACTCCAGCTTTTTAAAATTGCAAGAGATGCAGCAGCATTTCAAGTGTTCCTCCAACTTCTGTTTTAACATTTCAAAGTAGAAATATAGCATTCTTTTGAGTTTTTTTTAAAAGACGTTAAATACAACTGAAATAAAGGCTAAAAATGAGACTACAGATTGTATCCATTAGTACTATACAGAAGTAACATGAGAGTAAAGAAAAATGACTACTAGATGTAAACAAAAAAAAAAAATCATCTTACATACCTCAGATACTGCTGCAGCAGTAAATGGGCAATAATTCTCTCCAGTTCCTCTCGAGGGTGTTTTGGTGGAGTAACTTCAGCCACCCTGAGTTTTGATACACCCTTCCCAGACCACGCATCGATTAATTTCAGTGGGGTGAGTTTCTCACTCATGTTTTCAGCTTGTTCAAGTATCTTGATGAGATCCCTGCAGTATCCTGTTATATCCATTTTCTCACATGCTACAAAAAAAAGTGAAATAATATTTAAATAGCAAGTTATTTATAGTTATTTAGATAGTATCAATATATACATTAGGTGTATACATCTATGCACTTTTATATATTTATAGAGAGATATATATATTTCTATAAGTATACATCTATATGCCATATAACAGCAATGCTTTTTTTGTTTTGTTTTTAAACTATAACTTAACAAATAAAGCTGTAACTTTCCCTCTATCACATCAGGATATATTTGGATGTATTTGTACTCAAACTTACATTTATTTTTCTACTTCATTATTAAAACTCCAGTCCTGCAAACATTTGTACATGTATTTAACGTTACAAACCACAAAGAAGCATTTACAAAGCCTAAAAATTGTAAGGTAGCTATGTTACTCTGCCGCCGAGGAATCCTATTCCTCACCCATTACATTTATTATGGAAAGATTAGAGAGCAAGAGGAATCCATGGAGCTCGACCTGGGGGTGGATGAGGAGTTGACCGAGAGCTTATGGGTCATCAGGATTAGAGGAAAGGCAGGGGAAGGTGATATCACAGTGGGGATCTGCTCCAGGCGACCTAACCAGGATGACCAATGGCCTGATGAGATCCATCCATGGGTCCTGAGAGAACTAGCAGACCAAGTTGCTAGGCCACTTTCCATCATATTTGAGAAGTCATGGCAGTCTGGTGAAGTGCCCACTGACTGGAAAAGGGGAAACATGACCCCCATTTTCAAAAAGGGAAAAAAAGGAAGACCCGGGCAACAAGCTGGTCAGTCTCACCTCTGTGCCTGGCAAGATCATGGAGCAGATCCTCCTGAAGGCTGTGCTATGGCACATGGAAACTGTGGAGGTGATTGGTGACAACCAGCATGGCTTCACCAAGGGAAAATGCTGCTAGACGAATCTGGTGGCCTTTTATGATGGAGATACAGTATCAATTGACAAGGGAAGAGCAACTGTTGTCATCTATCTGCACTTGTGCAAAGCCTTTGACACTGTCCCGCAGGATATCCTGGTCTCCAAATTGGAAAGACATGGATTTGACGGATGGACCACTCGGTGGATAAGAAATTGGCTGGATGGTCACACTCAAAGAGTTGTGATCAACAGCTCAATGTCTGAGTGGAGACAAGTGACAAGCAGTGTTCCTCAGGGATTGGTACTGGGACTAGTGCTGTTTAACATCTTTGTCTGTGACATTGACAACAGGATCGAGTGCACCCTCAGCAAGTTTGCTGACAACACCAAGTTGCGTGGTGTGGTCGACACATTGCACAATCACAGGCCCTGGTTCTCATGGGGGA